CACACCTGATGCTGGCCTGTGAGGGCATTGCTAGACTCGTTAAAGGCATTCCCAGGTTCCCCTGCGGCAACGCTGGAGGGATAGGTTTTTGAGGCCTCCGCGGGCCTCTCCTCCTCTTCTTCTTATGCTTTTTGGTGAGCGCCGGTGGTTTGGTCTTTTTACGTGGCTTTCGCTGTTGCTGCTGCTGGTGCTGCACCCGTCGGTTTCCGTCCCCACGCAGGAAGTTATCCTGTGCAGAAGGAAAAGAACAGATAAAGCAAATCAGATTGAGACACTCCCCCCCAAAAATCTTTGTGGCAATGGAAGTTTTTGATTGATCCCACAATTCCAACAGTGTTTACCCTTAAACACTGAACTCACCATCTTTTTGGCATGCTCTTCGCAGAGGGGTGTCTGGTGCGTGATATCAAACACAGGGATGGAGCACTGCTGACCATCTGCAAATTTGGCTGTGCAACTTGCAAAGAGCTGCTGGGAACGATTCAACAGAATGTCTACAGAGAACAGTTAAGGGAAAAAAAAAAAAACCCTGCTATGCACTCAACAGAGACCATGTGAACAACATACTCCAGCACAGGTGCAAACTTTATATATATCACATTGTGTGATTTTAAAATAGCATGTACAACTGAGATTTATCAAATGCGCTTACACATGTAGTGACCAGCTGTGCATAAGAGCGGTGGTGCAAAGGATACGCTGAAAGCAGTGTCGAGTGAAGGGCAGAGCTCTGTTGTGGCAGGGCTGGCCCTTTGTGCTGCCAGTGCAGGTCCCTGTGTCTGTGCTCTGCTGCGTTGGTGGAGCCACACTGCAAACACAAACACATCCAGGAATAAGCAAACACTGCAAACCAACATTTTTTATGTCGGGTTCATTGAAAGTTACATTCCTAAAGTTGAGATAAATAAGGTTCGTGACTGGTTTAACCGAGGTAAGGCCTACTAGCCATACTGTCAAACATAGCTTGACTTAAACAAAAGAGATGGCTGTGAGAATACCTCGATGAGCTGCAAGAGGCACCACTCAACTCCTGAATCAGCTGGCCTGCACATCTGGGGTTTTTACTGGCAGCATGCAGCAAGGCTTTGCGGAAGGCATAGCGGTATCTCTTCTGCCGGATACGCGCCCTCTCCTGTCTGCACATGTGCTTGTACTTCTCCTGGAGGTACGAGCAAAGCCTAAACAGTCGCGTCCTCCGAGAGGAGCCGTCGTCCTCTTCCAGCCTAAAAGGGGAACAAATGACAATCATCAATATGAGAAGTTACACGCTATACAACAGGGGTTGAGTATTAAGGTACCAACCCATTCTGCGGCCTCCATGAGCTCTGAAAAGGAGAAAAACGCTCGGCCATGTCTTCTTCATCATCATCATCGTCATCATCATCTGCACTGTCCTCCGACCAGTCCAATCCTGGAAGAGACCGTGTTAGGGCAGCTTATCTATCTCCTTACATCTACCTTTAAACAATCATTCACAGTCATTATAAGAATCCACATGAATTCATAAACTATAAAAAGTTTGATCACCTAGATGAGGAAAGAGGTCTCCATGCTCCTGTTGTCTCTTGGCACAGAGCTGCACTAAATGTTGCAACCTGGCAAGGCAGCTGGCAGAAGGTGAGAAGGCAGTGGGACGCATGACGACCACATGCCGCTGATTGTTGCTGCCACTGTCCTTGCAAGCGGCAGGCAAGTGAGTAGCAGTCAAAGGCATTTTCCTGCTGAGCGATGGCCCAGAATGTTGCACTGGACTGGGTGCTGCATTGACGGGCAGCCCCGGAGGCAGAAAGTTGACCGTCTGAGGTGGTGGTGGATTGCATAATAAACCCTGCTGCTGTCCTGGGATGATGAAGGAAGTCGTGTTGGAGTGCTGGAGCTTCTGGAGAAGACCTGGCTGTTGCCGTGGAAGATGACTGTTGAGTGGTGAGGAAGGGTAGATGCGGGGGACAGGGGAAGGACTAAAGTGCTCAGGTGGTGTTTGGAAGAGGTCTGTGTCATGGCAGAGTTTCTGGTTAAGCACCAGGCGACTCTGTATTTTCTTCTTGATGGTGTTACTCTTCCGAGGAGTGCCCACCTCCTCACCATCTGTGTCATCCTCATAAAAGGCAAAAGGGTCCAGGCCTTCCCCGTCAGGGAGGGGTAACAGGCGTGTTAAGGGGGGAGATGGTGGTAGTTCATCTAGACCATTTGGGGCTTTCAGAGCTAGAGAGGGCACGGTAATATTGAGAGCCACTGACTCCAGGTGAGCAGCCCGCGAGCGCATTTCCTCTAAAGCATCGTGTTTCTTTTTCCGCTCCTTTTTGGGGATAAAGCCGAGAACCTGCAGGTGGCTGTTACAGTATCTGCAAAACAGGAACATATCCTCAGTACACCCTGACCCATGACTGATTGGCTCTGTAAATCAAAGCAGAATCAATCATACATACCGGCGGTCCTCAGACTTGGGGATGGGGTTGGTACACCGCTGACTGTTGTACTTGGCCACATACTCGCATTGCTTGAAGGGAGCAGTCTTATCCTCCAGAACGTGCCGGATACAAAAAGCATAGCCATTGAGTCTGCGCTGTTTGCAGAGCTTTGGGCTGTACGAGCACAACGGCTTATTGTCTATCTCTGAGAAGTGTATGTGTTTGCCTTCATACATCACGTGACTCTTGTCCTTGACAACATCAGCTGATGGGATAAAGAAAAGGAAAAAAAACAGTAATTACATCACAAGAACAGTGAGGAGGTAACTATGCATTCACATGCCGGATTAAG